AAAAAAAAAAAAAAAAAAAAAAAAAAATCAGCTCACGGGTCCTGAAAAGGTAGTTCTACAATTCTTTTCTTTTTGCCCTTTTTTTGTTGCCCAAGGGAGGGGTCAGGACCAATTTCCCCCTCCCCCAGATCCGCCAATAAGTGGGGGACCCGGGCCCCCCCCCCCCCCCCCCCCCCCCTTCCGCCGGCCATGTATTTTCTCTCAGTGTTGTGAATTTGGGTTGAACAGTTATACTGCACGTATCATGTATGGGTCCCAGCCTTTTTTGCCACCTGGCCCATTGCCACCTGGCCTTTTGTCATCTGCCCTTTGCCACCCGGCCCATTGCCACCTTGCTTTTTGTCACCCGGCCTTCGGCTACCCGGCATTTTGCCACCCGGTCTTTTGCCACCTGACCTTTTGTCGCTCTAGGCCCGTTGCCACCCAGGCCTGTTGCCACCCGGTCTTTTTCCACCCGGCCTTTTTCCACCCGGCTTTTTGCTACCCGGGCCGCTGCCACCCGGGCTTGGCCCATTGCCACCCTAGGCCCGTTGCACACCCTTAGGTTGAAGCGAATATTTACATTATGCTGGGTTGGGTTATTTTTACACAGATTGTAATCGTGGCAACGGGCATGGTGACAAAAGGTCGGGTGGCAAATAAGCCAGGTGGCAAATAAGCCGGGTGGCAAATAAGCCGGGTGGCAAATAAGCCGGGTGGCAACTGGCCCGGTGGCAAAAAGTCGGGTGGAAAAAATGCCGCTTGGCAACGGACCAGGTGGCAACGGGCCTAGACCCGTATACCTCTCAATGTAGCCTAGAAATGCATCTCTGTGAAATGATTTATGGTTGATACAAGCCGCATAATTCCTCAGGAAATATACAAAAATTCATAAAGATCGATCACGAAAACTTGCTCATTTTGAAGTACTATGAAACATTACCAACAAAAATTATATATTTAAACATTATTTACCAGTATTGTGAAAAAAAACAAAACAAAAAAAAAAAACTTATTAAGGTTCCAGCTGGAAGTGTTTCTCTGATCCATATTTCATCTGGTAGAAATCCTTGTTTATTCTTTTTTGTTATTTTCAGGGGACAATACATCTATAATCAATTTTATATTGATCTTAATGTTTCTTATATGACAAATATTAACATATTATAATAATGTTTAATACTCTATTTTTTAGAGTACAAAGGTTATGACGTAGCGGTTAAATTGCTAAGCGCAGCAGTTGCAGAAGACCGATATTGTCGTAGCAAGGGTTGTGAATACGAAAATAATGATGGTAAAATGAGGGTAAATGTATTCATTTATTGTGATTGTTAATACATAATAATACTGATACTAATATCACAAAAATGAAATGAAATGTTAATAAGTTTAAATGAAATGATGTGGTAGTGGGGTTGATGAGGATGATGATAATGATAATGTAAATTTTATCGACTAACACTTTTGTATTGTGTCTTTCCAGTAATTCATCTGTGTTATGAAAAACTTTATAGTAAACAATATAAATCATCTTTGAGATTAAAATAAACGTCTCTTTAAAATGATAATTAAACAGATAAATGTTGTTAGCTATGCTCCACTCTTATTATGCGCTATATTATATTTGAATATAACATAATAAAACTGTTATTGTTATCAGGGCAGTAATTGGTGTGCCTTCTTTGGGCTTCAGTATGGTTCTGTTTACCAAATAAAAGTAAGTCTTTTTATATGCTCATTGATCTTTTTTTTTAATTCATCAGGATTTCAAACAATTCATAATCTTAATGGTTGCTTTGTGAAATGCAATTGGAAATAAAATTGGAAAAATGATTGAGATATGGAAAAAGCACAAGTTTAGCAGTAATGCAGGATCGGCAATTAGGAAAGGTTTTCGACGAACGGTTTGATCACCGTCGTAAGCGAAACCGCCCAAAGAAGCAGATGATGGTGATAATTGTATGACGGTTGTTGACGGTAATTAGTATTACTGTACACACACTAAATACCGTCAACAAACGCTGTTGACGGTAATTTAGTAGGGCCTATTAATATACACGCATACTAATTACCGTAAAAAAAACCGTCAACAACGCTTGTTGACAGCTGGTGACGGCTGTTGACGGTTGTTGACGGTAATTAGTATGACCGTATCAATCTTCATCACAGTTTGTTACGCCATGTATACATTTTTTCTCATGTATCATATGTAAGTTTTTCAACTGTAGAATCACATTTACAGCGATCATTACGATGCCTATTTTTAGAATATGACGTAAAAACAGCGCCATCCGGACAACCTTAGGAACAGACGACAGAAAGATAAATCGTTGTTTTCTTTGGCTCCGGATCTGAATTTTTATTTAATTCTTCATTAATTTTACAGATATATGTTTCAGTGGTTGCAGATAATGTAAGGGGAAACTATATAGATGACATTAGGAATTCACCAGGTTAGTAAACGTTAGGCTAATATCTTCAAATTCACGTAGTGCCCAATCGGCCAAAACACGCGTGCGTTGCGTTCTCTACGATCTCCCACAGGGTATAAAGTAACACATGTGCATCTTTCGCCTTCTATTTTATAGATTGCTACGATGAAACTGAAAGTATTCCATTCTGCTTAACTCAGCGTAAGTCTGATGCCCTGTCCAGACTATCAAATTTTATTTGACAAAATCATGTGACATGCCTAAATATGGTCATGATTACATCACATCATGACCATATATAGGCACATCATGACTATATTGGCATACAACAGTAGTTTGTCAAAAAAAATGTGATTGTATGGACAGAACATTATGTTCAATTTTATTTTAAGTACTTTTGAGGTAAAGCAAGCAGTTTTTGATGCACAGCAAACATACGAATACAAATGAAGTCTCCATTGTTAATTAGAAAAAGAGGAAAGGTACCGGTATTCACATTGATGGATGACAGAAACTTATTATTTTTTCCATTTTGATCCATTTTACCACGTGAGAGCAGTTAGCTCAGTGGGCTAACTGGTGGGAGGCACTGTGTGCGTGGTGAACCATGGAGATGTCTTGGTCCCCGGTTCAAATCCATTCGTTGCTATCCTTGTGTTACTGTTAGAGGGCTGAAATTCTAGTTTAAAAAATGATGGATGAGACGTTTGATACGTTGATCCCGTGTGCAAAATGGATGCAGTGCACTCTTCTCAATTCAGCACTAGAAGCACACCTCTGAAAATTATACGATTTCATCAAATCTAATAATGCGGTTTTAACCATTGAGTATTTACATGCACAATAATATCCAAAAATATGTATTACAAGCAATTTAGTTGTATAGTATATGGGTTAAAAGATGGCGTATGAGTTGCAAACGCATGAAGTTGCTTATTGGGTCATTGGCCAAAACTTTTTCAGATCGCTGGTTTAAAACAGTATACTGTATAGGCCTAATATTTCAATAATGGTATGATTTGTGATAAGTATATGCTATTACGGAAATAAATGTAAAGTATATTTTTAAATAACACTTATTATTATTTCCTTTATGGTTTTTTTTTTTTAATTAAAGCGGTTGAATACATTGGGAAGCCATTCAATATAACTACAGACTTCAAAAGAATTGATGGAACCAATGACGTCACCGTATACGTAACTTGGCAGCAACCTATTCATGCTAACCCCGATACACCATTAATCTTTTATACTATTACCTGGGACAGCGACAATGCCGGTGGGGATAGTTTTGATTTTAAGGTAACAAAATGACTAAAAATGCACTACCAACCTTAAATTAAAAAACCCTAAAAATCATTTTTTAATGATTTTTAAAAAGCTTTACTTAAAACATCCTTAAATCGTAGAGGTAGAAAATCTGTTTTTAAGTCAATTTTAAAGGTGGGGGCGGAGTAGGGGTGCTGATTATGATGTAGGCGGAGGTGTACATTCTTGGAATGTTTTCTAGATTTGCATATTATCATAATTTTCATATTCTAGAATTCAGGTGGCTAACATTTTCTTCTTTTTTTTTCTGGTAGAATTTCACTTATGAACCAGCTGGATTCTTAACGACTTCACTGCTCAACCCTCTTCAAGAAGATAAAAATTATAATTTAACTGTAAGGAAAATTACATGTTATGAATAACTGATAATTATTATAAAATACTTGAATAATTGTATATATATATATATATATATATAAAACCATAATAGGCCTATCTGGTTTTAAAATTTACCTTAGCCTCTTTATTTTATTTCCAAAATAGATTACGGCAGTTGTATTAGATGGCGATAAACAGAGGTTTCGTTCAGCGGAAGTTTCGTTCAGCACATATTTGCTAGGTTTGGAAAGTAAATATCTAGGCCTACGTATTTTATCTAGTAAATGCTCTTGCTGGAATAAATATATATAAAGAGTTATTCACTGTACAGTATGTTCGTGGAGATGAGAGGGCGCACTCAGTCCCTAACCTTAAGCTTTGTCCACTATTACATTTTATGTGAAGTAAATGTGATATGCCCATATTTGGGTGTAAAATTGGGTGTAAAAACTCAAAACAAAGGTCTAGATCATAGAGGCTTTATGCATTATGTGCTCTATAAATCCATACTTAATAATAATAATAATAATAATAATAATAATAATAATAATAATAATAATAATAGGCCTAATAATAATAATGATAATGATAATAATGATGATAATAATAGTAATAATAATAATAATAATAATTATTATTATTATTATTATTATTATTATTATTATTATTATTATTATTATTATTATTATAATTAGGGCCCTATAATAATTATTGTTATTATCAAATACTTATAATATCTTTTTTTTTATTAATAGAAATAGCCGCACATACAGATGATGTAAGCATTTACATAATTGCTGGCGGCATTGTAGGCCTATTCCTCTTTATATTCCTGGTAGCTATATTGCATCGGAAAGCCAAAAGAGGTATGTGGTATGATCTTTCAATTGTTGGACAAATATGTCTGAAATGAAGTTTAAAACCATTATGTCCCACGTCTGGCGACATTTATTAGGAAAACTGAAAATAACCAAATTATATATCTATAGTCATAAACATAAAACATTAAACAGCTTCACGAATAACATAAAATGTAGTTGAGTACCGGTAGTTGAATTTACATGGTAGGTAACTTTTAAACGTTATTAGTGAACAGAAATCAAGAGCTTGGTCTAGCTATGATACTCGTTACGTCTCTGACAACTTGAAAGGAAATATTAACAGGGGGCTGTAAATTCTTCTATATCTTTTATAGATTAATAATAAAAATAGAATTCTCCCATAGCATTCTACAAGCCATAGGATTAAAATTACAATTTGTTTTCCATTACTTGAAAATTCTCAAGAATCATATTTAGTCCTGCGTTGTATTATAATCACTTAACCATACACACGCCGATTTAACAATGTTTTGTTTTATTCAGTGTAGTAACACACCGATATAAATACATAAAAGGATGTTACCATGGAGACTGGATCATGTGATATTTTGTGCCTATACATCGTTAGATTAACTCTCACATTATACACATTAACATTATGCCTGCTCATTATAACGAGTTTTTATGATTTTTGTTGCAGATCAAAGAGATCTAAGGATATTCATACCAACCGATTTCCAACAAGAGACAGGTACTGATATCTAGGTTTTTGTCCATTAAATATACAGGGTGGGACGGGATTACAAATTTGGTTTGAATGAACTACTAAGCCCAACCTGGAATTATGGTGCTCTCGTGACGTGCGTGTGGTTGTTAAAGTAATATTTTCAGAGGTCTTAAACTATTATTTGACATTCATAAAAAAAATTTGCATGTTGGTAAAATGACTGTTTAGCCCTCACCCGCCCCCAACTCTCAATACGCTCTTTTATGCTCGATTTTATGCAAAGTTTTATGAAAAGTATTATTTCTTTGTGCTTAACATGCGTATATTTTTTTTTCTGAAGATGCTGCAACGAAAGCTTTGGCTGATTATCCACAATACGAGATACATAGAGACGACATTACCTGGGAAAAACGAATTATGTTAGGAAGTGGCCACTACGGCGAAGTTTACAAATGTAAAGTTCAGATAATGGAGGAATCTGTGGACGCAGCAGTCAAAGTACCAAAACGTAATTAATATAATATAAAATTATTCACATCCCGCGGCGATTTACATATGTAGAGGAGTTATAATAGCTGCTTTAATGCAGGGTCGTGCCACAGTTCCTTTGGATCTGGTTGCGTACCCGTGGTACATGTTTGTTTCCTTCTGCCCTTCAAACAAAACACCTTTTCGGTCCCAAGATCGAAACTACTTGTTTTCCCCCTAGAATAAACCCCATTGTTTGTTGTTGAATACTATTGTATCCATTTAAATTTATTTTAAAACTTACTTTTATAAAATATTTCTCTGAAATGCCGTATATTCAATATGCTTGGAATATAATTATAAGATTATTATAAATATTTTGTTTTTTCTGCTTTAGAAATGGCAATCGGTAAAGAACTTGAAGATTTTGTGGAAGAAATCAAACAAATCATAAAATTGGGAACTCATGAAAACGTTGTCAGATTTTTAGGATACAATACGTCATCAAATCCTTTAATGATGATTAATGAATTTGTTCAGTATGGAGATATGTACAGTTTTTTGCGAAAGATTAAAAACAAGAAGGCACCAAAAGACGACCCAATATATAACATTGAGAGGATAAATCAACTTGAAATAGCCATGCAAATCGCGGAAGGGATGGTAGGCCTATGTTTTTTTCTCTCTTAGATTGTCTCTCATATGCCTAAGCCAAAGGGAAATAGACATTTTACATAACTTCAGAATATCCAAAGATTCATTGAGGTGCTATAAGAATCGTTAATCCAATAAAATATCTCACTTAATTAGGTTGTCGGTTTTGGCACACAATGAGCTTTCACTCGAATGCCAGGGGAGATGGGGCCCCGGGGTTCGAGGGACCCAGATATATTAATCGGCATTTGTGTTGCTAGGACCATGGAGTTTTGGCCTGTATCCACTATAGATAGTAGCCTATGATTGCTGGAAAAAGACTTGGCCAGAGGATTATAACCCTTATGTTACACCTTTGGAGTCTGATCAAAGATTGCGTCAACGTTTAGGCCTAATTCATAGGAACTGGTCCACTCACCCTGAGAATCTTTCCGTCAGGATTTCATTGTGATGGTAGAAGGTGTACAAGATCTAATCATTTAAAGATTAGATCTTCTACACCATTGCCCATATTATTTGAATATTAATTTAATATTAATTATAATATTTCAAAGGCATACATTTCTTCGAAACGTTTCTTACATGGTGACCTCGCAGCTCGCAACATTTTGATTGATAAGGGCTTGGTGGTGAAAATAACCGATTTCGGATTGAGTCATGATATATATGAAAGAAACTATCGTAGAATGAAAACAGATGAGGCCCTTCCCTGGAGATGGCAAGCTATTGAAACCTTTACCGAGCGAAAGATGTCGTCAAAAAGTGATGTGTAAGTAACAAAAAGTGATAAAATACTAACAATTCTATATACAAGAAGCCTTTAGGGCCTACATGTTGGTGCACAAACCATAATAATTACTGTTAATAATAGGCGGCCTATATTTATTCTTATTAAGCAGTCGAAATTAACAAACATTTTTCAATAGATGGTCATTTGGTGTCGTGCTGTCTGAGATCTTTAAATTTTGTGACCCACCTCCGTATCACACACTGCCGTCAGAAGATCTCGTGAACTTTCTCAAATTAGGAAAACGTATGGAACGACCACCTGATTGTCCTCAATACATGTAAGTTATAAACACATTCCATTTCCACGAACAGAAGCTTTGTGTAAAATCTTACCAGTAAGTGAATGCGAAATAATATCTGAAAGTGTGAATATTGGATTGGATTGGACTTATTCGGCGTAAACACCAAGGATAGCCCACGAAAGTCTAGAAGAAGACTTATTTCCAGTGGGGTCCTTCTGGTGGTGATTGGGCAGTACACCGGGAGACAAGAGTGTATTGCGTTCTTTAACGTGCACATGGGTCATTTCATTTCATTTTATTTTATTTCACACAACGCAGAAATACAATATAAAATTTTTAATAAAGGTAAAAAAGTAACAAGGGCAATGTAATCAAATTAAGTAATATTAACAAATTATTAAATTACAGCAAATAATAAGTGAAGATATAATAATTGATAATAACAATAATAATTAAAAAAAAATATAATATAATATGATAATAAAGATAATAATGATGATAATAAAGATAATAATAATAGTAATAATAGTAGTAGTTCCAGCTGAAACACAAGAAGAGGCAGCGATTGGAATTGAGCCGGGGACCTAGAGATCAGTGGGGGAAGGGGGATTAAGGTCAAGCAATCTCATCGGCCAAAGCTCGTCGGGCAGTCTAGTTTTCCAATCCCAGGCATTTCCCAAGTCTCGCTTTGGGAGGAGGGGGACATCCCCT